CCATAATGTGAAGGATTATAAGGGCCAACGCAGGGGAGACCATTGCATTCACGGCATTGTGCCCCAGGACCGTTGCTGAGATACCGGGGCGCCGCCCGTTCCTAACAAATCGCAGTGGCTTATTTCGAGTGGGAAACGAATTTATATTGAAACTTATTCATTGAGTTAATATAGGATATGTGTTGAAGAATATGAATATTGAGTTTGAGCGGAATTACTAGCGCTGTTGTTTTTGTGAGTGATTGAATTTGAGTAACTGGCGGCAAGTTGTATTAATGTTTTTTCACCTTGGACAAAAAACGCTGCCTCGTTTTGAATGTCTGTTATACTTTTGATCTACTCAAAAGAATAATTATAAAATAAGATAGAGGAAGAGCCATTATTGTATCTGTGCTTTATTTCAAAACAATTGTTAACGAGTTGTAAAATGAGTTACTAAAAATCGATTTTCATTTATCATAAAAAAATATTATATTATGCCACTCCTAGAAAGGTCCCAGTGAAAAGTTTTAGTGTACGATGAAAATGTCTGTTCAGTAGACGTTTTAATTTGTAAACTTAGATATTATGAATATGTAATGGTGATGTGCCTATAACTGGCTATTACCTGCGATTGTATGCCGTTAGACAAAGGAGTAACTTTCTCTGAATCTAATTTGGCCGATTAGAGTAAATTTATTGATATTTAATTAAAATTTAATGATTAGCCTTCACAACAGTACAAATTAAACAGTAACCGCATCGAAAATGGAGACGTGATTTGCAACACAATATGGAATGAGCCTGTATTACGCAAGCCACCTTTGTCTGTATCAAGGAGTATAGGCATTGAGAACATGAATAAATAATGTTAAAATTTCTTAGTAAAACATACTAAATAGAAGAGTGAGAACATAAATATTTATAATTATAATTTTATTATTTATATATATTATTATTATAATCATATAATTATTTCAAAATCCGACAAACAAACCCGAAGCTACATTTTAGGTACAATTTAGTAAATAGCATCTTTAATGTCGTTGTTTGAAAAAAAGACTTTGTGTAAGTTTTATGAAAATGAAAAAGGAGGATAAAGACTATTTGCAAGCTTCACACGATTAAGGCCAAATGCCAATAAATTCATAAACAATTTCTTGAATTTCAATATCTTAGTTAAAAATCAGAAACAAATCCACTGTGTAAAAAACAACGAACTACAATTACATATTATTTTACAGCATGTTAGCAACATCATTTGGTGATCAAGCAACACTCCAAGGACAACATTTGTTTTTTTTTGTTCACACTAGAATATCCAAACGAAAACTGAAGCCTAGAAAAACATCCACAAACTTAGGTTGCTCACCAAAATTTGCGGGCTAAACCAATGCAACTCAGACAAAACGTGGCATACAAGAGGAACACAACACAAATCAAAGCAGATATAAATTATAAGTTCAAAATACACTAATTCAGTTTTTATTTTTTCATCCGTATACACAACGAAACAAGCAGCGCGCGTGTGTACGCAATTACTCGACTGCAGTTCACCACATTCGTATTTCGACATCAAAATTTAACTCCTTCATGACTAAGCTTTTACCTATGTACAACAAAGCCTTGATTATATACATGTTTAACTCACAGGACGCAAGACATGCGATGCTACAGCAGTATAGAATATTCAAACGAACGGCATGCGAAACTGGCTTTACTCAAGCTTATTTATTCATGGTTCTCATTCATTCCTCCTAACCTTGGCAACACGAATAGAAAAAACTCGCGTCGGTAGAAACACACGCAATTGTATCGATTGAATTTCGTTAATATCAACTAGGACATCGTAGATTTCAACAAGGAGATCGTGGATATCAATCAGGATATCGTCGAAATCAACCAAGTTATAAATCTAGGTATAAATCGACCCAGCACCATCGCAGCCTCGCAACTATCGCACTGTATTCGTTTTGCCTGTAACGGTTTCTTATTTCATGAAGAGCTATTGCATATCCTTCCATGATGTTCGACAAACTTATAAAGACTTAGAAATTATGCACAGACAAAGCACGAACACCATCAGTCACAAACCACGGACTGAACTAATCAGCAAAGTTATGCGTAGCAAACTGTTAAAACGAACATGTCGCTCTGCCCCAGTGAAGATTTAAAAATTTATAGGAAAATATAAGTACCGCACTCATGATTACTTTGAATACTTTGCGTCGCACGGTATCAATGAAATACGACATTTTAATTAATACTGAAGTAATTCGTAAAATATCGATCAAAATTTGAAAATGATTATGACAAGTGTCGGCTTGCTGCTGTTTTAAGTTTTATAATTTCAATTAAAGAGTTGCAGAGATCACAAACCAATAAAACAATTGAAGGCTGTGTACAGATATCATTATACGAAATGTTTATGAAAAATACATGCAAAGATAATTTATACTGATTCGACAGATAAATACATGAAAATAATTTGGCAATAAATAAATTAAAGATTTAACTGAAAGAGCTTACTTTTAATTTATTAACATGTAATTTTTTCTTAAACGGTATTAAAATCAACGATTTTTAATTTCAGCATTCAACTTAAATTCATTAAATAATTCGTGTCATGTAGCCAATAGCGTGCACAAAAAATTTGTGGCACTACCTTGTTTTTGAAAACCTTGTTTATGTTGCATTATAACATAACTTAACGCGACTTATTTCATCTTGGGTGGACGAGTGAATGTCAAATGATATGTACGCAAATATTATACTATATATATGAATGTGTATTTATATTCATATCTATAATATAATATGAATATTATATATTTACGCAAATAGTGTAAAAAAAGTTAGCTGAAAATTTATCTTGCAGGAGGCTTTCTTCACAGCCTGAAGAAATGCATAAAAAAATTCAAAGTCAAGAAAATATGCACAAGAAAATTTAAATACCAAGAAATAGTCACTGGCAGAATATAATCAATTCATACTGTTAGGATGAGGCTGAAATACTTTAAAAATGAATAACGATTACAAACTCAACGCAGTTACATGTCGTGTAATTTGCTAGTCAATTATTCGTTTATAACATCGTATACTTTCTTGCTGTTGTCTGCTGATCACAATGTACAGAAGTAATTTTGTAATATACTTGTAATACAGTTTTCATTTTCGTTAATCTTGACAATATACCGTTGCCATCTTGCAATACAGTTGTTATTATAGTCTGTATTCATAATGCTCATGCCTAGATTGTTCAAATTTAAATATTTGACACAAGACATTGCATAATATGACATTTATCCGTTAAATATTATAAGAATAACTCATGTTTTGCCTGCAATAATTGAACTGTTATCACGAATTCAAGAATATATTCTGTATCGTACTGAGCGTATTCTGGCTCTGATGGAATAAGCTAGTCATCTAAATCCATTTTTTTTTCATAAAAGCCAATAAAAAATTGTCTCAATTACTAATTAATTTTATCGATGGTAATTTAATGAATATTACACGTAAATTCTAATGGCGTCTTTGATATATTAGTTACAAAATTAAAACTGTTCAATATCATTGGGATGCTCATTATCAACGAAAATAATAAGCAATTCAGCAACCAAAAAGATCACATGACTGTTTTATAAATCTATTACAACTATTACTTGATACTCACAATTTACTTCTACTACTCGTAATTCATTTTTACTGCTCGCAATTCATTTATTCGTCAATCTTCAGTCAGTGGCGATTTGTCGAGGCATCGAAATGAGAAAAAATAAGATGCAAGATTTCAGGAAATTTTCGTATTATCAGAACAAAATTTTCGGCATGTCCTTAACCCAGGCACAGCATAAATAATTTTGCAAACAATGATAGAATTTTATTCGATAAGATACATGGGCATTGGTACTTCAATTAAAATTCATCGTTTGTTTTAAGTCTTTTTCAACAAATTTTCAATATTTGCATTTAAAATTTTGTGATATATTATACGGGCCATAATATGTAACCAAATATTTGATCACATTTATAAAAGAATTAAGTTTTGTCTAAAAAGCAGATTTTGTAAATAAACTAGGCTTTGAACATGAATTTCATTATGCGTTACATTACATTATAATGTTGTGTTAAATTTAATGCTGAAATTTTATTGCAACATGCCAACCAAAAGGGTCTAATTCAACACGTTTCTGCAGGTATCTAACAACAAAGAACGATAAAAAAAATTTTAAAATTATCTGATTTTACAGTCGGTGATTTTCGCCATAGATTTAACAGAATTTTTCAATTCAGTCTTTCCATAATTATTAGAATTTGCACGGCAATGTCTCATGATCTGTACAAAAATAATATTCACAAACCACGGTCGAAAAACGATGGTTGTGATGGCGATCTAAATTCGAAACAATTAACTGATCAATAAATATCGGAGGTAAAAATAAAGGCATATAAAATGTTAGAGGATTAGTATTGAATTCTTAATACAATATTTGAATTTGTATACGCAACAATGAAGAATCAAATGTAGAATTTAAATTCGCGTGTAAAGTTCTCAGTCTCAAAAAAAAGAAAAAATTCAGGTGTTCAAAAATTTGTGTAAGGAAATAGCAATAAACAGTCAGGAAGCTGCACCGTTGTTCCATGGAGTCTCTATAGATATATTTATTTGCAACTTATACAACTTAGAACATTCATTTATTGGTACAATGTGAGTAACAATTTCTGTAGCAAATGTCATTCATTAAATCGTATACGTTTTACTTCTCAGTGCAAAATGTAAGAAAATGAATGAACCCATATGGTGTATAAATAATAATTTTCTAATATATCAAACGGGAATTGATTATATTTTTCATGTATATCATCTCCAGTTACTTTACAGAACACTTCGTGTTTTGGCCGACCTCGCGTAAGCGTATATATAGGATAATATACGCATACGAGATTCCTTATTTGCACAAATAATTTTCTATCCATATTGTCTTTACAAATCATAAAAATTCCATAAATATTCATGGAACCAATTCTTAACTTTTAAATAAAAAAATTAATTACATTTCTAACCGCGAACACACTGTAAACCAAAACAAAAAAAGCCTGTAATGACACTACCATCACGAGGTCGCTAATATAACACCAACACAGCTTACTTAACCACGGGACCTTTTTCAGAGCGTGAAGAAAATTGCTAAATACATACTTAATGATTAATTATCAAAGAGCCGTAGTGGAAGAATTGTGGTAGAGAGGAGGATAGTAATGCTGGTCAGGGATCATGTTGTGGTGTGAAGCCGTGGCTGAAGACACCGGGGGCAATGGGCTCAGCGCCCCATAGCCGTTATAGTCCTTCGAGTCTCCGTGGGGGGCGATGATGGACGTTATGCTAAAGGGGTGGACGGATGGATGGTAATCCTTCAGTTGGTTATATTCCTTCAAGTAGTTCCCGTAGTCTTTGGCATGACCGTTGGGATAGTCTTTTGGATAGCCGAGCAGAGAAGGATGCAGCGCTGGGCCGAGATCGTGAGGTATCTGATGATGAAGAGAATGGCCGTTGTGATCCGTATACTTGTCTTGGCCGTACTTGTCAGTCAACGGCTGGTATTTGTCACTAATTGGATACTTGTCATGGAGCTGATATTTATCCTGGAGGTGGTTATACTTGTCAACTTGGTTATATTTATCACAAGGAACATATTTATCGGTGAGTGGTGTAGCTGCGGGAGGAAGTGAGTGGTAAGGATTTTCAGAAGGTTCTAACTTCGTAGCCGCCTCTAAAAGTTGACTCATGCTACTGGTAACATTGTCAGAATTCGAAGGTGGAGGATGCTGGTGAAGGTGGCTGGGATGTGCGCCGTTTGCTACAGAAGATGCAGGCGAAGTCATGTTCACGTCGTGTGTTTTTGTTTCTTCTTCGTTACTATCATGATTTTTGCCTGCCCCTCCTGGCGACTGGTTGTGGGACAAAGATTGCGATGCAATTCCTGACCCTGAAACCGATTTTTTCTCTTTTTTCTCTGCCTTGAATCTCTTTTGCCGACGCAGATAGCAGCCGTTCTCAAACATATTACCAGAGTCTGGATGCAAAGACCAGAAAGATCCTTTTCCGGGCTTATCAGGAGTTCTAGGGATCTTGATGAAACAGTCGTTGAAAGACAACGAATGGCGTATGGAATTTTGCCACCGTTGCTGATTTTGCCGGTAATATGGAAACAAATCCATGATGAACTGGTAAATTTCTGCAAGTGTGACCATTTTACTTGGTGCATTTTGTATCGACATTGTAATGAGAGAAATGTATGAGTAAGGGGGTTTTGCATGAGTGTAGGAACGACGGTAGGTTTTATCTTGTCTTGCTCTTTGCAGAGCATTCGTGACAGGGCTATCGGACTCGGGCAGTTCTCTGCCGTATGGCATCATTTGGTTCATAGCTCCCATTCCTCCCATCCCAGCAGACATGCATCCACTCATGCTATTCATTTGTGGCATGGATGGATTCATGGGAGAAAATGTGCCCATTCCACCCATACCAGGACTCATACACTGACCACCCATTCCCATACCCCCTATACCACCCATACTCGAAGAAAAATCCATGTTAGGAGGCAAGCGTTGCTGGTATCCATTCATCATCATAGGATTCATGGCGTTCATGTTATAGTGTGGCTGTGTCATGGGTGACACAGGGGGTGGAACACTCGTCATGGGAGTCATTGAATCACTGTACAATTTTTGAGAAATCATCGTGACGGTTTTTAAATGTTCAAAAAAACAAACACTAGAAAAAGTAATATAGAAACTTCACATATTCTAGACCGATATGCACTTCACTTCTTTCACTGAGGTTGGGGGTAGCACTGACACAGAAATTTTTGGATGGCCTCTAGCTCGGTGCTAGGAGCGACGCGGAGATTTCAGAGTCACTAGGAAAGGACACCAGGTCTCGGCCACTGGAACTCAACAGGTCATCTGAGGTCGCATGGCTAACACTTCCACACACAGTTCACTAGGAGAGAGTACGCTAAATTGAATGACCAAACACTTATCCTAATCATATGTGTGCGTACAGAGTTTGAGTTGGTCTTGTTTAATTCTGTGATCAGCAAAAGTACTTGTAGCACTCACAGACTGTAATAAGCGCTGGGTTGGACCTAACCCTGAGTAAATATACTCGTGTTTGAGCAGATATCTGGAGGCCCTCCTCCAAACTCGAGCTGAATACACTTGCCCAGGCTATTGGTCTAGAGTCTAGCATGGAACTGCCAGAGGAATAAGACTTGGGTCTTTGTCCCACGACCTCGCCAATACCTGCCTTCTGGGAGGAGCGAGAGCGGCCGCATGCATGTCGCTCCAGACAAAACATCTGGAGCTCGAGGTTGTCGCCAGGGTGAGTTGCCATGACTGGAATGGGCTGGAAGGTGGGGCTTGTCTCTCAGCCGCGGGGCGGCGCAGTTCTGATCGACCGCGCCTGCCGCCATCCCCCTCCTGCAGCGGGCGATCATTGGGGCCGTTCGGCTCGCATTGCTGGAGCTCGCTTGCCTATTACGCTACGCTATCCTGTTGTTGTTATTTTTATCCCTTTAATTGCAAGAGAACGTAAATTTCCCTCAACTCACCATCTTTTCTCCGAAAAGAAATTCGTTTTGATTGACTAAAAATACCCCAGGATTGCAAAAACTTTTTCACCTGATAGTGATCTAAGGAAGTTATCGAGACATTATAGATCAAATATTAAGTAGTGATTCACAAGTAGATGATTTATTGTAGAAATAGTCGACATTTCCCGTCGTAAATGAGATACTTTAATTTTTTTTTGGCTTTTAAAAGTTGCGTAGATTTTCTTATTATGGTTTTTCTTTTGAATTTTGGTTACAAAATTTATAGTCATTTAAAAACGACCCGTGGGCGCAAATTCGAAGTGGGACGATATGAAGCAGCTGCGAAAGATATCCATTCACTGATAAACTTATCAGTGTAGCTGATTGCCAACTTTCGATCCCGCTTCCGATAATCGAAGAATTAAGATAATAAATTGACTCTGAGTTCTTTGTTATATATTAGATGCGAACATCACATTTCCCCTTTCAAAGAATAAAAGTTTTGCGAGGACAGTTAAAAAGCAGGCTAATATAGAAAAACAAAATAGCGTAGCACTGATACATAAATAGAATTAGGACCTTTGATTGAAATTATTATTTGGTGATGAAAGAAGTATCGGCAAACAGCAAGCTCATGCATGTATACGCATACTGTAATAAGACTATATTCAAAAGTAAAGATCATTTATATCATAATTTTAGTCAGACTTCGGCCAGCGCTATAACTAAGAACTTTTCACAATGAGAATTTTAATTTTTCAAATACCATGTACGATGAATCAAAGAGACTGAATGACTCAATTCTATCCTGAATTCTGGTGAGGATTATTCCATGTATTTTATAGGCCATAAATTTCATATCTAAATCCTTTAAAAGACCTAAGCTTGGTTGAGAAATTTTATACAATGCAAGCAACTCCGCCATGGCCACGGAATTTCGAACGTTAACTGTACTGCACATGCATTTTGTCGTGAATAGATAGCACGAGAAAAGATTTTCATGCTATAATGCATCTTTTCTGGAAAAAAAATTGGCAGCTCAAATTTTCGTTTCATAATATTCCAAAACGAACTTATTTCAGCGACTGAAATTATCGAGTGCACAATTTTGAACACTCAATTAGGAGCATTAATTGCATTCGTTATTATTATTTTCATTATTATTTTAATTATTATAATAATAGTAATAATTATTATGATAAATTATTATTATTAGTATAATATTATTATTGTTGTATTATATTCATCATAATTATTATTATTATTACCATGGTTTGAGTGCAATGATAAAATCTCATATTCCAACTTGATGACATGAACATAAATCCAACAAAATGTTGGACAACTCATTGTAAATATAAATTTTCGACCTAATTTATTGGATTCACAAACATTCTTCATTGAGCGGTCGCACGGGTGCTGATAAAAGTTCAAAACTTTTTCTGCACATAAGTAATTAAAAATTAAATTTTAATGAGTCTTCCTTGGGCAGAATACGAATTTATTAATTTTAGTCCTAAGCTTTAATTCTCGTGAAATGCTATGCGCGGAAACCTATTCCACAGTTAAGCAATTTAACAATGGTATATGTTAAATGGATATACTGAAAAATAACTTTGTTTAAATCGTTCAAACATATTGAAATTATTTACTACAATAAAGTTACAGATCGTGAATTGACCTAAAGTTCCTATCTTAAATGAAAATTTTGTGTAATTTTAGGATTTAATTATTAAAGATTCACTTTTAATCAACCAACTTTTCCAGGGTCACTTACACATCGCCATAGATGGAATGCTTCGTGAAACAGTCTACGGTATGCGTGCGCATATTTTTACAATGGTTATTATTAACCCATTAAGAGAATTTTGCTCGACATTTGAGAATAGTTGCAATCATAACATCTATGTTACTTACAATTTCTTAATTTAAAAATATAATTAACTCCAAACTTATCAAATTTAAGAGTAAGACCAATCATTAATTAATCTTTACAACTTAAAAAATATTGATGGACAGCCCTTAACTTATCAGAGTTGAATTATCATCCAAATGATCAACAGAAATTTAACTATCAACAAGAATTCGAAATTTAATTAAAAAATGAATCACAAGTTATTATTTATTCATACTGAATATGAGACCTTTACGTATGTTTAGTCCATTACATGTATTTCTATATGTTAAAAGTGTGGTCTAATATATTTTTTTAATTATGAATTGTTTTTATTTTTCTGAACTATTGATTTTTCTCCTTGTTTAGTCCTCACGTGAACAGAAAATACAGAGAACATGGATAACTTTCATCGTGAAAGATCAGACACGAAAAGGATGTTGTCTAAATATACGTAGAAGCTGCAGAAATAGTCATGTATTGCACTTCAAAATAGACTACTAGAAACTTTTCCGGTCGCAAAAAAAACACTGGATTTCAGAAATATATAATTGCGTGTGGCTAGCTGGCGTGGACGCTGACCTTGACTGATACAGGAAAAATACATTTTTTTACAACGCATTTCAACTTTATATTCGAAATTTGAGAACCAATTGTATTGTTACGAACATGAAAACAATAGGAACCAAAAAAATTACTGGTCGAAATCAGTCGGATTAGGCTTCCTGATTCCTGTTGATTACAGTAACCGCAGAACACATGCTTCTCAGTTCGTCCATCTTTTTAATAAAAACAAGTTTCACTTATTCTCGAAATAATCTTTTCTCTTATCCATTTATTTTTGCTTGCTACTAAACCTCTGTACGTGTGACCTGACTACAAAGTTATTTTGAGTTAGTTGTTTTATTATAGCTTCGTAGAACAATGATAATAATAACAGACGCACGAAAAGTAATTAATTTAGACTACGTGCACACTACAGCATCGAGGAAGATAAATGCAAGTGAGCGTTATAAAAAGCGTGTAGCGTTTTGATACATGCTGTTTATAATACGCAACTGTTCTGAGAATAATCAACGTCTTATACAAATGCTAACATTATTTAAACGCCTGCAATAACGCAAGTAGCTAAATTATTTGCTGAATTAATTCTACTTCTACCCTTAAACTACTGAGCTGCTGTGAACCGATAACGATAATGGAAAAACTTATCATCTATAAGCCACAGCCAAATTTAATTTTGAATGTTTTTTTCATCTTGATCTTTGATTAGCGTGCTCTGATTGACGAACAAAAACTAATCCCTCTTATCTCAGCAAGAGCCTCTTCACGCATACGAAAAACATGTACAGCTAGAGCATGCAATTTTAAATGTGTTAAGTCAATTTTCTATATTAAATATGATTGTGGGTAAGACAACGACTGCTAACTAAAACTTGAAAAGCAATACAAAGTTCTCCGAAGTATAGTCCTTGAGCCAACAACTATGAGCGACTGAACCTTCGATTATTGGAGATTAGATATGACGCCGGCACCTGAAAATGTAAGTGAGATCATGACCACAGGACAGACGTTTGAATGCTCCTACATGACTTCTTTACTAAAAAGTCACTTTCATAGCGTAAAGTTTGAAACCATAGCTCAAGCCATAGTGACCATGCATAATAGGCACAGATACATGCCGGTCCATATGAGCTCGACCTCTTATTGAAGCTGTTATACATTTCTGGCGATATCTTAGGGAAGTTTGTTCCGGAAACACCTGACGTAGAAGTCTAACCAGATGCTGACATTATACTCTGTCCTAAGCGAACTTCTGGAAAAATGCGACATATGGCCTTCCGACAATTGCTTTGACTAACTCAGTGTGACCGACACGTTAAAATTCAGAGCACCAAAATTAGCACAATTTTTGACGGTTTTCCAAGCTGAAAATTTCTGGTCGAAATCGTCGAAATATCCGATTTCGAAAAGTGAGTTTCAAATTTCCATGTGTAAAGCTCAGCGATGTCACGAATCGGCGATAGTCCACTTTTCGCCTTAGCTTCTTCTACGCCACTACTATATTTCTAGTCATGCACATGACTTTCCCCACCTCACATACCCAAAATATTTTATGTGTCATGCTGCTGACTAGGTGGCTCATTGCATCCCCATGCAAGACTCACTTCATGCAAGACTTCTTTGCCGTGACTCACACCCATTCAACAATCACTTCAAGGAGGTTATGGGGAAAGCCAGGGTCAGGCTTTCCGTCATATCGATGACGGCGCCGTGACGTCTGTTTGGTACGTCCTCATATGGTAGGATTGAATCGTATTCATATCTCGATGTCTCAAAATTTTGTTATCTATGTTAAAATATATATATGATTTTAGATCCAAAAATGAACCGGTCAATGCGCACAGCTGGTGTTAAACTCTCAAATAAATAATAAACAACTGTTCAAGTCTAATTTCGAACAATTCCAATAAATGATATCCCGAGTTATTTGTGAAGCATAATCTACATCAACCTGAGGTAATCATGAGCCCATTTAAAAATGTCAAGACAAAAATCACGAACTTCTTTTAACCCTGAAAATCATTGGATTTGATTTTAATAATTAAAAATTAATTTCAGCACAAGTCAGGAAATGATTTTTTTTTACTTCGATGGAAATGAGTGGCAACGGGAAGAATGCTTTTCCAACTGAATCCTTGCGTGACGCGCTTAAAATTGCCACAAATTTCTATAATTAAGCTACCTCAGTTGTTATTAAAATTATAAAATGTGAAGACATTGTATCACCTCACAATTTTATTGTGAGGTGCCATTGTCACAACCTCTAGGGTCATTATTACAATAATTGCAATTAATTACAAAAGATAAAGTGATAATTTAAGGCTGATTTCAGAAATCAGCAAGAGTCGTAACCTTAAAGTAAAGTACATTTTTTAAATAATCTCTAAGCCTCGGTCCTAACTCTGCAGCAGGGGAGGCATAAATGATGGAGTAATTCTAGATTTTACTTATAATCCTAGAGAAGTCAAGTGGCAAGGCCGGCTGCGCTCAAGGCTCAAGTTTCGCCGAGTCACATCTCGAGAGGTACGGTCCGCCGCACCACATCTCGGATCTGTAAATCCAATCCTGATTCTCTACATTCTACACGAGATATCCAAGCCAAGTTAAACTCTATGTAATTAACTGGAATTACTTTCATACTTTTCATCATCTAATTCATTGTGCTTGTTGTAGCAATTCTGGTGTTCTCAGGTTTGTTTAATGCGTTTCCGCATTAAACGTCTTTTCATTCTCGTTCCTTTGTTGAGCAGCAAATGTGATTTTATTAGATTCTGGCGTATTGATTGCGTTCAAAGTTGAATTGTTCACGTTCCACAACATTATTTGCATTGACAATGAGTTCAATCATGGAGCAGCAACAGGTGATATTAGCAGTTTGGCAAGCAACGCCGTCAATTGCGATAAATTTCGCAGCGAAAATTTTTTATAATTACCGAATTTAATGCTAAATAGAACTAAATATTTAGGAGCAGCCAAATTTAGGAAATTTATGACGTCGGTAATGATGTTTTTGGTATTTATACTGAATATTACGCTAACGTGTGGCTTTTGTTCCGCGTTTCTTAAAGAATTCCTTCGAGAAATAAGTCTGTGAAAATTCCGGTCATTCAGTAGAAGTACCGTGAAGGCGTGAATGTCTCTACGATGTTTTACGGTAGTGATTTTGGACGTGTTTTCCACCTGCAAAACGTTGATCTTGTGACCAAGTAAGTTTTGTATATATATATATATACCCTCTATGTCAGATCGTTGACTCTATTATTTGCTCTGATACTACAGTTGAATATTAGGCGAGTTGCAAAATTTTTCAGAAGACCCAACATTGAGAAGAAAAAAGAAAAGAATCCCAAACTGAATTGGCCGTTGCGTGAATATTTCTCCACGTATAATATATCCGATTTTCTCTAATGGATATTGCCTTGTTTGTAAAAAAAAAAACCTTCCGACATTATTAAAATTTAGCATTGATTATGATTGATATCGACTTTCAGTACAAAACATTACTGAATTGGGCTTCTCCCGAATGAAATAAACTCGTGCCTCTGAGTGTGTATCGCGTGGCGCTAATAATTTTATAAATTATGATATTTACGAAGTGTATTCTGTGATATGTTGAATAGATCTCCCGTCGATAGTCAAAACATTCACTGGTTCTGTAGTATAGCAATATTTCTTTATGCTTGAAGACTCTCCTAGCTACGAAAAAGTAGCACGATTCAGAAGTTAGGTACCTAGATAGCTACCTACATTCTTCTGCCTTCGTTCGTCATCCAGTGTTCGTTATTATGGTTCCAATACCGTCTTTACGGTGCTGCAGTGTTATTTTCACCCATGAAGCATTACAGGTTGCACGTTGCAAGTCCATTAATTTTTTGGGCAGTTTGGAAAACGGCGCGTTTTAACCTATGCTTTAACACGGTAACACCACATAACTATGTTTATGCGAGATTGCGAGCCTTTTCTAAAAATAAACACAGAAAAGTGCGTCAATAAAAACTCTCGATAATTTCATTCATATTTGTCTTAACTGTGTTATCTTTCGTATATTGAGCAAATTCATTTTGTTTTAATATTTTTGATCGGCTTCTAAACTGTTATATTTACTTGAACGACGATATTATGCAGGATGAGCTCATATCTAACGTAGTTTCCCTATGATTATTTTTTTTTGTTGATCCGTAGAAATTCTTTAAAGGGCATACAATGATAGTTTTGAACCGTAAAATTATTTGTTTCATTCATTGAAATGACATACTATGTTTGTTTATTCTGAACGATTTACTTGTAACCTCCACGTAAATGAAACAAATTCATCTTATTTAAACTTATTTCAGTATTCAAATTTTGATCATTTCCACTCGCTCTAAATTATTCCGTTGTTTATCGAATAATTTTAGTACTATGGACTACTCCTTTGCATGCAGCATGCTATGCTCTCTCGATCGACGGTAATTGGCTTGTGTGCATTATTTCCGATGGTATTCCAAATGTCTAAAAGTATGGCTAGCAGCAGGAGTCATTAGGCCTATTTTAGTGGGCTTTAGCCCACCTAAAATATTCTTATCACCTCCTGAATTTCATGTTCAGTTTTTAAAATTATTTTTATTCTGGTTTTCTTATGAAAAAAGCCAATAAATTCAACATATTGTTGGCCTGAATATAGGTTTAAATAAATAATCATTCAACCAGCCCCTATGATCTTTAGTACTACAAATGAAGAGGCCCCTATCTGCAAGCCATGACGACATAATTGCCGTTGGTTAGCATTAATTTCAAAATTTTGGTTTTCGTCTGGGTAATGTTTCGCGGTATTGCAATTTATACCTGCGGTCTACGTTGCCATTTTCAATTTCTTTCCGTTACTTTAAATGACGTAAAACATGTATGAAAGTTATTAACTCTTAATACGTCAAATTCTATTAATTTTTTAGATTTTATTTGCACAGTCTAATTAATGCGTAGAAACAATGATATTTGTAGATATTGCTTGAGCTTCTTCGTTCAGCGCATGAAATCTAACTTTCATTATGGAGTATTATGAGGGACTGTTAGGATCCAGCAGAATGGTTGCAATCAGTTGTTCCTATCTCTTACAGATCTATTGTCATTGGGAGACTTTTGACAGTTGCGTTGTAGCAATTGTACCTACCACCGCACTACCAAGTAGTCAAATCAACTAATAGTTAATTCATAGTATTCTTCCATATACTACCACTGTATAATGAAATTGTTTGAATTTTATATTAAATATTGCGCTATTTATTATCACAGTCAGTACGTATATATAATATTCGACCTTGAGCATAGTCGTCAAGGATCCGCAGATGTCCCATGTTGAAACACGTTGTGTTGTATGATTAGCTTGCGTTAAGTAGTAATCATTTCTGTGTACTTATAACTAAGTTAAAATAGTTCATGACCGCGAAAGTGTTCTTTTATTATTAATGATGCACGCACGACATATGTTGGACCCTTCTGTAATAAATGGGTCAAGTCTTGAACACCTGCGCACGCAATGTCATCTTTTACATTTGGGAACATTTAGCGAGTACTGCTTATTAATTTCATTGACTAAAGATACTGATAAAAATTTTCCATACTAGTGAATCGATTCAACAACAGAAAATTCTATCAGAGCTGTTAGATTTATTTATGATAATGAAGGAATACGATAAAGTTTTCCATGCAGTTTTTAATATAGCATAAACTTAGGTGACATTCAACACCAGCCTCTGTTGTCGCGTAACAATAAATTCGAAGTCCGCGTGTAAGTTAAAAGTACGACACTTAAATGCGGTACGTATAGTTTTAAAGTGATTATAGCTTATAACATTCGCATATATGTAACAGATCTAAAGTGAGGCAATAAGATCGCAGAACTGCTTCCCAAAAATTCTATTAACATTGAATCAATTTTACCGTTATATGTTTGACGTATTTCTCCCCTCATAAATCTTATAGGGTATACTTTCTTCATAATTTCGTTTTCTACATTAAATAGACGGGTTCTTCACAAACGACATTCTGTTATTAGCGATAGTTTTGCTGGGGATAAAACTTATTCGTGCGATTTTTTTGTGGAATGCTTCACAATTTCGAAAAAAGCACAGAGGTCAACAGTCGCACTTTCAGACTCAGGATGCCTCTAAAGTTTAAGGATCAATTTTTTGAGCAAAAAATTGTCTCGAGTGTTTCATTTTTTTCTGAACCAGCTAACAACTGTCAACAAATTAGATTTATTTGCACTAATAATATACTAAAATACTAATATAATTATACCAGTTAGCGGTTGGGTTCTTTGGGCCGATCAGTGGGTAAATGTATAAATGCAGTAGGTGCATGTAAAGGTATATAAGATTACATATAGTGTTCCCACAAGTTTGAGCATTAGTATGCTCTCTAATTAAATGATGCTATTTTAGAATTAAGAGAAACTTGTTCCTCATTTTCTACGCCACATAGAGAACATCATCAATAGGTAATGAGTAATGTTATTACATATTGTATGCAGCTACAAAAATGCTATAGAGTTTCAGTAACGCACATCGTAACAGTGCTAACTAACCTGACCTAATTAAAACAACTACTATGCACTAAAGCCAATGTACATAGTAGGTAGGTTAGTTATACGTGAACATCTCAAATTAACGTAGTTAGTTCCAGCCAAATGATACATTGAATTGTTTTTATGCATGTGCTAGCGATTGTCGACCGCACGCGCAGTCTGACGGCTCATCGCGTGGGATCGCCACACTTGTAGCAGGTGCAGTCTGACGGCTCATCGCGTGGGGTCGCCACACTTGTAGCAGGTGCAGTCTGACGGCTCATCGCGTGGGGTCGCCACACTTGTAGCAGGTGCAGTCTGACGGCTCCTTCATGGTTATTTTCATGGTCGCCTTGGAGCCACCAAGCATTATCCCGTCGCCGTCGTAGCAGCGCGTCAGCAACACTTCGCGTTCATGCAGCGATGTCTCGCGACAGCATCGACAGTCCTGTCGCATTGCAATTATTTTAACAATTATTGGAATAATAAGGCTACCATTGAAGCAAGAAATTATACTAGCTAGTGCTTATTTAGGCTGCCGGACAAAATAATTTATATGTTCGCAGCATTTCGTCTACAAGGAAACATCAAGGAAGATCAATAACCATAAATTTGTTTTTAATTTCAGTATTTTAATTGATGCTCGCGCTCGTTCATCAGTTTCCTTTTGGCAATATTCGCTTCACTTGTTGATGGCAATCGAGCAGAAAATTTCATTTGATGGCAGTCGAGTCAAACTTTCGGACTTCGGAATAGAATATAATCATTCTTAGAGTTACGTCACAAAAGTAAATTATTGACTTCCGATCTATTATTATTTTCTTATTCATAAATCTCATTACATAATACATATTGCAATGATCCTGATTAAATCACAACTTCAAAGATGTCTTTGGGCCACAAGTTTTTCAGGTCCGAAGCTTTATCATCGTTATGTGGCTTGTATTGCTAACAGCATCTTGTGTCAAATGGGATCGTGTTGGAAATGTCTATGCTTATTCGTCATGTCTATGCTTGATTTTGATGTACGAATTGTGTTTGTGTTCAATTCAATTCAGCAGAGCTGTGGTGTGGTTAAGATCCTACCTTGTAGAAGCCACTCATGTTCAATACAATACAACAAAGGCATAGTATGGTTAAGATCTTACGTTGTAGAAGCCAAGCATGATGTTCAATACAATACAACAAAGGTGTGGTGTGGTTAAGATCCTACCTTGTAGAAGCCACTCAAGGTGTTCACCGAAGGCTGCACTTTAGACTGGCAGGATCCCTCGCATTTGCTCACCAACACGTCCTCCTCACATTGCCTGATCAGGCGCCCGTTGTCGTCTCGTTCCTCTGTCGACATTCATAGAAAAATTTTTTTATATAGGAACATTTTTAGTCGATTTATAATTAAAAAAGTTTATGAATAGGATTTTCATAGATTTCCAGCCTTAATTTGAGGTACTTGTATGGTTAAAGGCAGAGTTTCGCCTTCGTCATGTGAATGCCACGATGCTCTTGCATCATTTCACCGAAATCGATCAAATAATGTATGCAACATGTGAGAATGTTTTATTCATTTGTGATCAAATAAGATCATGAATTTATGTTTTAACTTTCTATGAATTACTTTGTATTTACTTATAAATGAGATTATTATTTGATATTTATACCCTGCGTGACGTGTATGGTTGAAGGCAGAGTTTCACATTCATCGTATGAGCGGCCGGCGCTCACGGTGAGCAGCGCGGCGCTCAGCAGCGCTGTCCTCAGAATTAAAAGCTGCATCTGCACCGAGGAAACAGGGACAAAAAAAATTATATTATACATAAGAATTCAATATTTATAAACAAATTATCATATTTTCGACATGGTTATTCGTTTGTGTATTCTGCCGAGACCACGATAGAAGTTTCATCTAAAAAAGATGGAGGCTCAAATGATGACTTAAACTCATTTTACATTTTAAATTTATTTTATTAGCTACAATATAATGACGAACTCAATTCAAAACGTCGACGAAATTTTGCGCTCCATAAATGATATATTTGTACGAATGCTGAAGAGATGTATACTCTCACAAATTCATTTATACACCAAACAAACTGAGATTTGTTTGTTTGGCTGAGATTTGTTTGCATGGTGACTAAACTAATCTCAGTCAGAGCAGCAAGATTATATACTTGGTCGTGTCGCTCAGATATAATCCAGAGCAGCGACTAACCGTGCTGATGCCACGACAGCTCAGGAGCGAGTGACGCGCCGTCAACAGATGCTGGACAGGTCTTTGCATCAGCCACCCAGTGAGGTGACCCGAGCCGTTGTTATAATTAAATTTTAATAATAACTGTAATAATAATATATAATTGCGGCGTCAGTTTTGATGCTGTAATAATAATATATTATTGCGGCGTCAGTTTTGATAAAGCCACTTTGGCCTGTTGTCGATTCTTAACCACCCGACCACCGTGCCGATTTAGACTAGAATTTTGCGGATTAGAACCAGTTGCAGATTTCGAACTGCCAATTCGCTGGTTCAATCAATGCTCAAACCACTCGGCCATCGCGACAGATTTACGTACAGGCATGGAAAGTTCGTTCCTTCTTTACTTTCTTTCCTAAGTAATAATTGTGAAAAATTGTATGAGCAAATTATACGAGCAAATAACACAATTTTTTTTAAAGAGTTAAATTCATCTAACTTATTAACGAGTATGTCAACCTAGTACTTTCAACGCACTTCTGCAATGTTCGATATTCTTTGCTCGAAAACGCTGGTTGACAAAATTACGGCATTTTGTTTTCAAACTTTTTTGCCGACTCCCAAAGTTTGTTTGATCTGCTGTCATATAGCAAATTAAAACGAATATTCAAACGGATATTCATTTTCTCGAATATTCCAACGAACTGTATGCTATGGCGACCTCCAGTACCGGATTTACGATGATGAACGTGCAGCATAACCGAAATACTGAAGGTCAAATATGAAGATAACGATAAGTAGAGGGCGATGTAGCTCGCCGGGAAGCCTTTTAGTCGAGCGCCATAAACGCGCTGGGCTCAACGCTGGGAATTCCAGCTCGTACAAGGGCCGTTGACTGCTTCCATACTTGCGAATATTTTATCTGAGTTTTGGTAAAGATTGTTCAATGAGTACATGTGTATGAAACCACATTGGGGTGTATTTATACTTTATAGGTAAGGCAGTTTTTTTCCAACACCATAGGTGCGCTCAGTAAAGAATAATAGGCACACACTGCTTATACTTACTTGCAAATATTTTACTTTAGTAACTAACGATCGTTGATGAATACATATGTGAATGCGACAACGCTGTGGTTTATCAATAGGTAAATCCGTTTTTTTTCAACGAGATACGTTTGGTACAAATATGCACAAATCGCTTCCTCACAGTTGACTTCGGAGCTTAAACGTAACTATTTGACGCCATTCAATGCACGCCATCAACGAACGAAATGTCCTGAAAAAATCTCGATCGTTCAATAGATGTAGAGTTACAAATTTCTTGGAATTAAGTACAAAATACAAAATATTTGTGGAATTTTTCCGTTGTTATCAATTAAATTATTTACTGATAATTTCATTCGTAAATTTGTCATAAATAATAGATGAAAGATCTTCATATGTCTAAAGCAATTCAGATGAGTCGCGTAAAGCCCTCACTGCTATCCATGCTATAGGATTTGTGAATAATGAAGTGAGTAACTCAATTGGCCCTTTCCAGGCCGATTGTCTCGTTTATTATAGGTACTCAAATTAAGAAATTCATGTCTAGGCAATATAATGAAGTTGTTCCCGATTGGGACAGTAAAAACCTGATTTATTGTTAAACGTGATTTATTGCTAAGGAATTGAAAATTTTGTTCAACAAATATCTTAAAAATGTTAATCTGCAATTGGTGTGAAAAACTTTCAAATCGGTTCGTCTTTCAAGTATAAAGATAGGTACTCTCCCGCTTTTTATTCGTTCTTCCCTAGTCTCACGCACAGCCATCATTCTTCCCTAGTAATCACGCATAGGTACAGGCTGTGCAATGGCGTACAAAGATATGTTGCTAATTATTTATACCTTATGTGCAGGACAGGCAAGAAAACGCTGGTTGGGATCAGCTGCATGGCTTGGCGAAAATACGAATCGGTAAGTGATTGGGTGAGGAGAATGGATGTTGGTGTGCGTGTGGGTGGTGAAAGGTTAAAAATGCTTCTGCTGTATGCTGATGATTCTGTGATTTTGAGTGAAAATAGCGAAGAACTACCAAGTATGCTGGACTGTGTGACTGAGTATGGGAGTGACTTCAATGTGCGATTCAGTGCGGAGAAGAGCCAATTAAGTACTTGTTGTGAATAGATCGGTTGAGGATATAAGCAGAGTGTGGACGTTGGGAGGGAATGAGATTGTTGGGACAAATGAATATAGGTAGGTACTTAGGGATGTGTGTGGACCATGAGGGATGTCAGAGAACCAAGGCCGCGAATTTCAGTAAGGCGAATCAATGGATGAGTAAACTTGGAAGTGCAGCAAAAGTGAGAGCGAGTAAGTATGAAGTATTTAGGAAAGTGTGGAAGAGTGTGGCAGTACCTAGTATTATGTATGGATTGGATGTGATAACATCTAGTGATGGTCAGCTAGATAAACTGGAATTGGTACAGAGTAAAGTGGCGAGATTAGCACTAGAAGCCCCCAGGTGGGCTGCGGTGGAAGCCCTGAGAGGGGACACGTAATGGAGTACTTTGAAGGAGAGACGAATGAGATCAGTTTTGAGGTATAAAGTGAGACTGGAGCGAATGGACGATGAACGTACGTTAGGCACGAAAGATGTATATGCGGAACATGAAGGTGAGTAAATGGGCACGTAGATGTCGGGCATTGGTACGTAAGTGTGGTATGTATGAAGCATGGGTGCGCCATGGACCCGCGGGACCAAAAGGCGAATGGGTGATGACAGTACCAGGTGCGATTGGAATAGAGTGGGATGAAAAAGAGTGGAAAAGAGAAATAAATAAGCGAGTGAAAGACTATGGGCTGAAGGTGCGAAAGCAAGGAATGGAGGGAAAAGACACTAAGACTGTATCAAATGAAAGCGATTCTAGAATATGAATGCATGTATGATGGTGGTAAAGGTGCATGGGGACATAGTATTTTGTGTTAGGGCAGGGCGCTAGGTGTGAATGGACGTACATACAGGTGGAATGAGAGGAGGGAAATAAATGTTTTATGTGTGATGGGGACGAGAAGAAAACTGTGGAGCACTTGGTGATGGAATGTGGGGCGTATGAGAGAGAGCGTCAGTCTATGATGGAGGTGATTCTGAATGAGAGAGGTGAGACGAAGAGAACAAGCGAAGAGTGGATGACAATGATTGTGGGTCTGTCTGAAGGAGCAACTGCGGCTATGTTTGAGAGTGTGAAGGGATATTTGGAAAACGTGTGGAGGATGAGGGAGAGGAGGAGGTTGATAAGAGTGGGGTCTTGAGGAGTGGAGGGCTGAGAGAGGGGAGGGTGGGAAGACAAAGGTGACCGTGCCGAATGTTTTAGTACGTACGTTGTTTTATTAGGGTGTTGCATAACGAAATGTTTTAGTTTTTTTAGGATTGCTGTGAATATGTTTAAAAATTTAACTTTTTGTTTACATACGAGTGTGACGTGAACTTTTAATTTTTTGACTATAGTAAAAGCTTGTATGACCGATTACACGTGTGCAGCGTGTATGACCGATTTAAAGATCGTGACCGGAGGTCAACGCTTCCAATTCCAAGATGAAGATGATGAACTATTCAAAAGAATCTCCGATGAATGGGCTACCGGAGGTAGCAGGAGGCCTGTACCCAGCAGGAGGTGCCAGGCATCACATTCACTGCAGCGTCGCCGGAGGAGCGAGTTACATAAAAAATGGTTTAAATATTTTGTCGTATGAAATTATACTGACTAATATATTCTATATTATATAATATATATTTATTATTATATTATAATTATATTTATTAATTAATTATTGTTATTATAACATAACTTAGTTCGATGATTTCTCTTGCAGCCATAATGATTTCTCTATTGCTGCCAGCAGGCAATACATCAGACCCCGGCGTGCTGCTGCACGCATCGGCCTGCCTGCACGCGACGCATTTCCCCGCGCCTCTAGCAGGAGGAAACCGCGAACGTAAGAGAACGAATAATCTGTGTTGAATAGCGTACCTTGAAAAGTTATTTTTTGTTCATTTTTGAACACGTACCCAATACTTTTGCGTGGGTTAATTTTTATATTTTGTTGAATAAAATCTAAACACGGCTTACTTTTCGATATCCTTTCAACATAATGTTTCTAGTAATAATGTCACTCGTTTGCTTGAATCGCAAATTCACTAAAAACTCAAAAGCAAAGAAAACTCCACAAAAATTCATATTATCTTTAAAGAAAACGTTAACTTGTTCTAGAATTTTCGAACTGACGATGGAGCTGGACTCCGAAACGTTTTCTTTAAAGATACTATGAATTTTTGTGAAGTTTTCTTTGCTTTTAAGTTTTTAATGTTTCTAGTAACATTAGCAATATACTGACCAAATGTTAGGTAAAATCTTTTACTTTAATTTGAGATATAATTTGAGATTGGATACTGTAATGTATCCAATACTTCTGCGTGTCACGGTATAATGTATGGTTTGTATTGTGTAATCATGATGTATTGACATCCATTTTGACTCATCTTTTCTTCACAGATGATGGCTGCACTCCCCTTCACTGCAGCGTCGCCGGAGAAGTGTTTACATAAAAAATTGTACAAATATTTTTGTCTTATAAAATTATACCGACTAATATATTGTTAATTACAAATATCATTATTATATACATCTCTGCAAATTTATGCAACCATTAACTATTGCCTCATTTATAATCATCTCGTGGTATTCTCTTTCATGTACAGTGCCGGAGACTTGAAAAACGTTTGGCACATAGGTCGCCAATGCACTTTCGTTCTTCGACTCACTTTCGTTTTTTGATTCAATTTTGACCTGTTTCAAAAGTAATTCACTTTGGACCTCCTGATACACTTTTGTTCTTTGGTGACACAATTTTGTTGAACAAAATAGCATAACAACTATGATGCAATTGAATCAATTAAATGCACGATTGAAGTCATCTTGTCGGAGTATATTTTTCAGTGTTAGGACCGATTATTTGCTCTCGTACGTTTATACTGGCAGGAAAATAGTACGATAAATTCTTAATTTGTACATCGACGTCAGTCTTTGGGCCAACGACAAGTGAAGAAACCGTTACGAAATTGTTAATGGAAAATGAAACTCCTCATTAATGGCACATTAATTCTGATCGAAATTATACCGCTAATATTATACAGTAAGAAGGTACGTAGTTTTTACAGGAAGTAGAGTACGTTTGATGCAAGTGTGCGGGTTGAGATAAACCAGCACCATTTCAAGTCAGGACAGGAGACAACCCCGACTTTGGCGATACAAATCAACCCATTTTTTTTGCAATCGAGGTATGCAACGCGAAGCACATGAAAATTTTTTATTCGATATGCGATTCCCACACAGTTTTATTACGTGTGGTGCCATTGAAATGAAAATAATGATCACAACACACATTCTTAGCCTGCATGCAAAAACACAGTTCAAGTATCGATGTAAATTTGACTCTACCAGCGCAAATTGTATTCTGCATTGGCGCAAATTTTTATATTGCACAATATTAGTAGATTTCGTCAAAATGAGAGGATGAGAAGGTTAACGACACGCGGACGGCAACGTTTAAAGTAATGGATATAATATTTTTTCTTCAAACCTGAATGATGTCGGTAGCCGGCCGACAGCTGGCCATTGTTCCGCCTAAAAAAAACCGGTCCTTTAGTCAGTTCAATACGCCCGGGGTTACGTTCAATTCAGGCACAGGAGCACAATTCAAAATTGGCGGCAGGCAGAATACATTAAAATTTAGATCTTCTTCACCCCAGCAGCCGCGCGCAACAAAGTAAAAAATCGAATTTTTGTGTATATTATAATGCTTGACTAGCGTGTCAGCTATAAAACCATCTCGCTGCGGAAGTCACAAATATAAATCAATCAAAATTAGCGGATGGTGACGCAAAGGTATATAAATGACCAATGCAAAGATATTTACATTTTTGAGGGTTGATAAACCAAGAAAGTACAGGCGAACAACAAAAATTAAGATAATCTAACATCAGATCTCATACACAATGGTCAATGTTTCTCTTACATAAGGTCCCGCACGATAGAAACATTGCCGTCAAATCCTGCAGCACAAGAAATTCCAACTCGCATCAGAGAGCGCGAGCTCTGTAGCGAGGCGCTCTCGAACAAATTTACTAGTTAAGAAAAGTGCAACAAAACTCCAAGTGAACAACGACACGCGTCAGAAGAGGCCTTTTCATATGAATTTAGAATAACCTGGCCTAATTTTTAGCGACGCTTGTTGAATTTGAACATAAATTAGGTGATGGCAAAACCTCATGGTTCATAGCTGCACTGGTGTCTATCATCAAACATTTGTTTCATACACAATTTGACATTTAGACTGGAAAACTAACAAAAGAATATATGCATCCTGCTCATACAGCAAACTAGGATCGTAACAAGGAATCGTAGGAGCATGGGTCTTTGTTGGTATCGTGAAAGTAAAATTTTTGGTATAGGATATTTAGGAGTAGCACTAGATAATATCCGTCTGTAGATGCTACACAAATATTCTTTATACAGTTGTACTTGACGAAACATTCGTACTTTCTAACACAATGAAAGAGGGTAGATGCCATATGCACTGGTTACAGCTGGCCAACTGATCAGATGGTAAATTGGTACAGCAGCCAAATATTGACAATGGTTCAGAGCAAACAGACGAGCAATTAGAATTTTATACACTACTATACAAACGAAAACATAAAATTTACAAAATGCAGACTAGAGAAAGTAAATTATGAATACAACTAACGGAGCTAACTTTTGATTATTGGCGCTACAATAATCCTGTAATCCAACATGACCGTCTCGTTGAGCCCATCAAAAAGGTTACTTTAAAAAAGTCAATTCAATATCAACGGCGGTGTTGAGAGAACATTAATTCAAAAGACGTTGTGAACGCAATTTTAGGTTTCGACACTAAAAAAAACGTGAAACCGTATATCAGTTGAAATGTAGCACTCGACATAAAATGAAATCGGGACGAAAATTAAAAACATAAGACAAACTTCAAATCCACAAAATTTCGAGCAACACTGGAATAGGAATGCGAGGAACTCGTGTCTTTGGTACGCTTCACTTAAAATTAATCGAAGTTAAAGACAATTAAAAAGGCAACATGAAGCCGTCGTAAACTTGTACACAGAACGCAATAGAAATATTCTAGTAGCGGCGAGTAGCTGTAGTATTCCATCAAAATCACCTCGATAAAATAGACATTTTTTGTGGCGGTAAGCGGACAAAATTTCGACAATGCACCTTAACATTAAAGTCAATGAAACGCAACAGATGAGGAACGGATTAAGTCGACATCTGGCAGCCAAATCTCTGCCTGTATACCGTAGGCGAATATCATTAATTATTATCGATATACCCGAAGATACGATTTTATATAAGAATAATTTCTATATCCTACCTTATGTTAGGGAATTGAAAATTAATTGAAGCTTAGTTCGTAAAAAAATTAATAAAGTAAATTGACGACAAAATTGCGTTTAAAGAGCTACTATTAAAAAAAATAAAACTTTTTGAACTCGTTTAAACCGTTTGATTGGGAAATGCAATCCATCGTTTTCTCACGCAAGTAGAACCGCAAGGAGCGTGTCATTTGAAATAATCTCATTAAAATCTAATTTAATATTGCAACAAGAGCTACTCAGCGCGACTTGCCTAATGAACAACAACCAAAAGCCGAGAATTTAATGAGCTTAAGGATGAATTCAATGGGCACCGAATGAATCATGCTGAAATGCGTGAATGAATAAGTTATTCATACGGAGACTTAAATTTATATTGTACGATACTTACCTAATGGGATCGACTAGAAAGTCGGAAATTCGTTGATTGTGGAAGAGTTGATATGCGTAAGAGGGGAAGATATGAGGAGTCTTGTTCAGAATATTCAGATAACTATTAATTTCGACTTCAGGCGTACATCTAGTATTGTTAACCTAATTGTTTTGTAGCATTTTAGGGAGACGATAAACATACGAGTTGGAACACAAGGCCAGTCCAGAGAAGATCTTCAATAAAACTTGATGATAAAGAATGAAATGAGTGAACGCAAATTTCAAAGAAATGCATCAAAAGCGATCACAATACGTCTGGACAAGGAAATTAAATGGGTTGTCGGTTATCGCATGATCAAAAAGTTTTTTGCCTGAAAATGACAATTAATCACGAGTAGCCTTAATATTCTAGTACCAATACGACAAAAATTAAAACTATAGCAGATCATTCGTCTTCCAAAAGCTGCAGAAACAATTCATAATAATTCATCGCTTCATTGAATGAAACGGCATCACAAGGTAGCGACGAAAATGCTTCAGCCTCCTTCACAGTCTCTGAGATTTCAATTCCCAGCGCCATAAGATTTCATTTCGTTTTGTTCGCTCGAGCAATCATGCTTCTTAGAATTGAAATTCAAACCTCATTTCAAATACAAGGATATACGAGTATTTAGGATCAAAATGTGCGTGTGTTTTTTTTTTCGAGCCAGATTACTTAAATCAGGAAGTTCACTGAGCATATTAACTTTAATCCATTCATTTTGTCGAGAAAATATTAGCGCATTTGAGTGATATATATTAGAATATATAGTATATATTAGAAAATAGAAGGATTTAAAACATATGAGAAGTGAAATTCGGCTATTTAAACCAAGTGTGGAATTAATCCTAATTCAAAATCTCTCTGTGCATCACGCACCGCAAAGCACAAACATTTAATGAATATTATCAAAGTTTAAAAAAATGAAAATGAATGAAAATGCGATGCTGAGCAATAATGATTCCAAATGATGATAAACATCAAGGCAATATCCTTCATTTTGACCATGCAAATGAAGAACGAAATTAATACTTCAATAATGTTCATTCAGTCTAGTATTACTTTTAATTTAATTATCGCAATGTCTTCATCATTTCTCAATTATTAATGCTGGTAAAATATTTAAGGTGAGAATTAATACGTGAATATTTAAAGTGAAATTAGCACGTCACATGCTGAGCAATTAACCAGTTAAAAATAATAGCTACAGTCGATTATATAAATAATATCATGCATTTCATAAAACATAAGTTATACACATACTCGTATATAAAAATAAATGTTGACCAAACTTGCTAGTGACAAATTCTTTAATAAAAACATAACAGTAAATTAAGGCAATTAAAAACTAACTTCCGAACTAAATAACAAAATACTTGTAGGAAAAAGTTGCACAGCAGCTCAAATGGGCACAGAAACAAGAGGAATTAAAGTTTAAAAGAACAAAAATTAGGAGCTTATCAACAGAAGATTAAAAGAAGGCCGAAAAACTGAAGAGAAAACGTCCCAAAATGTAATCACACTGTAACGGCCTAATAACAGAGGCATGAAGCTGGAAATTAAAGACAGCAATGTCCTCCTATAACCCAAAATATTATATGAATACGTATATATTAGTTTAAATGCCTTGTGATCATCCGCTGAACATTACAAGGACGAGTCTTGATAAAACAAAATTTAATAGAAATAAAAACAGAAGTCACGAATCCAATAGGCAACACTTGATATACGCAGAAATTGAAAAAAACATGTAGTGAATTAAAATGTAGGCTACCGATTCTAAAAGGAAGTAAGGTCAGAACTTCTTCTCAGGGCTTTAACATGACCGGGAGAAGCAAATGCTATACATTTCAAAACAGTAGCTAAAGTAAACCAGTAAATACTGTCACTCGTGGAGAAATTCTCGGGTTTCGTTTCAAGTGCACGCCAATAAGATAGTGTCGGCTAACATGAAAATCCAATATAGATACCCAAGACTGCTCAACCGAATATCCAATTTTGGATTCAGTTAACAGGTTACGCAATCAATTATGATCTTTATAGTTACTCCTCCATAAGTGAAGTATCTCTTAGTAATACACATTGACTGAAATCTAACCCAAGTCAAAGTCACAAAAGCTACAAAGTTCTAAAGAGGCACGCATTCCACCTCATTCATAATCTATGACTCTAAATGACTGAGCAAAATAGCTGAAATGCAGTCCGGAAGATAGCGAGTCGAAATACTGACCGTTGGCTACATTTTACATGTATAAAACCTAACACATTATATTATGAGGCAGAGAGTATTTTTCTTGTGTTAAGCTGCTCAGGGAAATTTAGCTTCTTTCACAAGCTAAATACACACGCCTCAAGAAAAGCTAATAGTCTCAGAGGATCCAAGTGATCTTTCAGTGACTGCTGGGACTTACTTACATAGTTTGAACTTTCACAGCGATTTACATGCTTCTTTGACAGGATCGAAAAACAATAATCCTAAATAGTTTCAAATTGTCACAGAACATTGCTTTAACCCTTTGTCTACGGATAAATTAACCATCGTCAATGTCATTTGCACATAAAGTACTGGGACCGAGAGGTGCTGTCTGTACACGAAGGTTTAAATTCGTCAATAAAAAACCTTAGAGTGCGTGTCGAAAAGCCGTGGAGCAGAATTTTAGTGTGGGGGTTCTGGTGCATAAGGCTGCCGCAGCCTCAACGGAATAGAGTAATTTTCAGTGGCCACCGAGTCTGCAACGTCGTCGTCCATCAGCAACAAACTACCCTCGGTGCCCAAGATGGCGCTCATCTCAAACTCTGACACGAGGGGCGTGAGGTCCTCGCGCGACCCGTGCAGGGAGGATTCTACAGAATCATTTGGGGAGTGTGGGGTGTGGGGCATGCTGGATGACGTAGATAACTGCTTAGGAGGAATAGGTGGAGGAGGAGGCGAGCGGACATTGCGGGGTGAGACTTGGCTGAGCGAAGAAGAGGCTTCGAGGCCAGGGTGGAAAACACTCGTGCCGTTCACGGCGTCGTCCGCAAATGCGAATATCGAAGGTGCCGACAGCTGGAGGGGACAAAACCGTAGAAGCGAATTTCAAAAAATGCTTTTCTTATAATTAGAATAGCAAGGTAAGGAGTAGTATATCTGGGACTTGGAAAGATCAACTGCATCGGCAGTTCATGTTCAATTCCCGGTCAGGAAACCCATTTGGGATGCGTATTTTCCGATTGGCTTTCTTTGTATAATTGATTATCACTAGTATTAGATAGGAGAGCCTATTGCCAATGTGTGATTTCAAATCCAATATGAATGTATACTATTTCATTAAATTGCCGTAAGCTTTTTGTTTAACAAAAAGCACCTACTTTGTACACAGTAACATAGTCACTTCAAATTTGTTAATCAGGCTATCCAAAAAAGTATTTTTTTTTTCACTAAGTTTCATATCAAATTTTATTGAATGTTAGTTAAATTAGATCATTCCCAAGATGGCTGAAGAACTCCAATAGACAGGGTAGTGATATAGAATTTCCACCAGCATTTTAAGGACAGATTCTTCTTCAACGGGTCTACTTATTTTTCAGGCATGCCATAATTAATAAAAATTTTAATTTCCCAAGACGTTATTAAATATTGTTCTACTATTATAAAAAAAATTCTTCGCTGAACACCATCACTGTGCCGGCTCATTTTAAAGTTTAGTGAAAATCATTTGTAACTTTCATGGAATCTTTGCTGCATGTAAATTACAACATTTTTATCATGTGAATATTACGTTTGAACTTAACGTGGAAGAAAGAAACTGAGCCTAATTATAGTTTCCCTTCGTGTTCATTCGTTACATGAATAGAAACCGAAAGAAAATGTCATTAGTCAGCAAACAGATGATAGTCAGCAAACAGATGATAGTCAGCAAACAGATGATAGTCAGCAAACAGATGATAGTCAGCAAACAGATGATAGTCAGCAAACAGATGATAGTCAGCAAACAGATGATAATCAGCAAACAGATGAGCATTTTTATTCGCTGGCATCATCAGCATTTTAATAAAAAAATCTAGAATATTCTACAAATTTTAGAATAAAATTGAACGAGAAAATTAACCTGGTTGGATATTTTCTTGTAGCAGGTGGTTCGCTTGGGCAGAACTGGAGGCGGCGCATCGTCCAGACGAACGCTCGCCACGCTCGAGCGTCCGCTGCTGCGATCACTCCCTGCCAATTATTTACATAAGTAATACATGCTTTATATTGCTAATGTATCATATATCATATATATTAACTATCACGAGTAAATAACTGATACTTGAAATTGAGGAAAATGGAGTGGGGCCTAGTACGAGAAGCTTCCCGGTTCAGAAAACATAATTTACTTTATAATATATTTTAAGATCATCGATAATATTCAGTAAGAAACATGGAAATACCAATGCTTAGAACACACAACAAATTATTTTAGTGAATAATGAAGCAATACACAATACCTCGAGGGGGGAGTGGGGGGACGGGCGGCAGGGATTCCTGGGAATGATTCCAGTCCTTGCTCGAGTGCTGGGGACTGGGAACACAGGGACACTCTCATCACACTCGATGTCATCACACTCGATGTCATCACACTCGTCGTTATCACAATCAACGTTATCACACTCGTCGTTATCACAATCGACGTTATCACGCTCGACGTCATCACACGTTATAACATTCGACCATTCATCGCGGGAATTTTCATCTATAATTAAAGCTTCTCTTGCCTCTTATTATGGGCGGAATTATAAACACGTTAATGATACGTCGCGTGACACATAATATGACAAGCAGCACATAAAATCTACATTAATAAACGCGTCCACGATAAATGTCCAAATTTACATAGTTCTACATAGTTTACATACATAGTTTACAACATAGTTCCAAATAATCTGGACGTTTGGGGTGTATTGAGATTCCGAATAACGAACTATTAAGTTAGTAACGTCCATACGTTGTGCAAATAGAACATATAAATTGACTTTCATTAGTGTTATGATATGATAATTATAAACAAACGCACTCTTAGCACAGATATCGAAACTGGACAAATAACAATAAAACTACGAAAACAAAGTGCATCTTATGGTATGATAATTATCAGGCAAAAGAAGCATACAAATAAGTAAAAATGCAAGTCTAACACTTAAAAGCAGATGAAACTTTCCAAAAGCGGAATAAATTTTAAGCTACTTTAAATGACGAAAAAAGTAATAATATATGCAATATATGAATGCAATGCAATATATGCAATGTATATGAATGCAATTAAAACGGCTAACGAACCAACGGTTCCTCCAGTGTTTCACTGGCACACGTAACATAACTTGGCACTACTTTTCTATTTATTTATTATTTTCATCTATTTTTAATATAGATGGCCACAATATATAATGTGATACAAAATTAGGCTTGCTACACTGCATTTATAAACAATGGGCATTTTACAACCAAATCATTGTCGATTTTTCGGAAAATTTTATGTGCAGAAAAGTACTTCTTTTCATGGAACTTTATTCAATCGCAGCTTAAAATTTATTCAGCTTCAAGAGTAGCGGAATTTTAGTGGAGTTGAACACAAATTTTTTGTTGAATGAACCATTACCTGTGGTGGTGAGGGAGAACAAACTCGTAGGAGTTGGTGGTGGTGGTGCGGGTGAGGGGGTGGGGGGAAGTCCCCCGGCTGTCACCCCCCACAACCACGGAACGCGGACGGCCTTCCCGTCCCCCGTTGCTTCCGTTTCCGCTATCTTCGCACCGCATTTCCTGGAAAATTCGGATATTTTGCTACATTTTTACTGTTAATAAATATTAACGAAAAAAAGTAATACACGTTAATCCTGAATGGCAGGCTTTGCTCGGGGAGGTCGTACGTCATCACGAGGTATATAATGTGAATTATTAAATTTCACAATGAAAAGTATCGATTTATGGTTAATTGAACATGAGTCTATCGGTATCAGAAACATTCTAAATTGATAATAAAGAGAAATAAGCTCAACACAAACGGCATTTGGGTCACATAAGGCCTATTAAGGAGGATATGAAGTATTATATATAATAATAGATCATCGTGCGATACATATGAAATTATACTATCTGATAATAAAATTAGTATAAGTTAGATATCAAATAAAATAATAACAAAAGTATTTATTTATAGTAACTGACCATGGGTCTGGAGTAGAAGTCGTCCTCTTGAGAGACGGAATTGTGATAGTAAAGTGACGAGGATTGTGAGGATCGTTGAGACGAGTAGCCTGAGAGCGACGTGCCGCTGCTGCTGCCCGCACCACTCGGCACCGGCGGTAGTGGCGAACTGTGAACAACGGAACTTTAGCCGCTAAATTGTCCACAAGTTTTTGAGTTTAGAGTTTATCTGATGAATTGCAAAAAGTGACATTCACCAAATAAATATAAATTTATCAGTTTAGTTTAGAGTTTATCATATGAGCCGCTTACGGCCACGCAGGTATGCCGACTTCAAATCATCACAGCATGCCGGGATCCGAACCGAACGCGAGCCTAGCAGAGCTGTACTATCAAAAGTAGTTTTACTAAAAACTCACCAATCACAGACGTGAAATAGACGGCAACGTGCACTGTGGCCACTACAAGTACTTGAGCCGCTACGTGAACATAAAAAAGTTTTTCGCTTAGAGAGCCTCAGACCCCTTCCGTAGAAGCATCATTTATATGCGTAATTCTTCGAATAAATGCACTAGATTTGATCTCCATTGTTTCCATATTAATGATGGAGCCCATCCTGCGGAACTGTCCACTGCCACTCACTTGATGATGGAGCCAATCCTGCGTAATTATTCACTGCCACTCACTTGATGATGGAGCCAATCCTGCGGAACTCAGTGGCAGGATCGGAGTCTGCGCGTCTGTGGGTGTGGGGACGAGTCACTTTGTTCTGCATGCCTTTGAACACCTGAACACCGAGCAACATAGAAATATCATTGGAGAACACAGAAAAACATACAAAAAATAACTATAATAAGCCTCTAAGTCTGGCGCAATGCAACTTGTTCTTAGATATTTATTTCATATTTTGGTATTTTATGTTCTCTAACACCTGGACACCGAGCAACATAGTACTATCATTAGAGAAAAAAACAACAAATAACTACAATAAGCTTCTAAGTCTGGCGCAATGCGACTTGTTCTTAGATATTTATTTGCTATTTTGGTATTGTATGTTCTCCAACGCCTGAAAAGCATGGAACAGGGATAGGAGAACATTGAACTACCATTGGTGAACGTACAAAGAACACACAAGAAATAAATACAATAAAGGAGATAAGAAAAACAATTGAAAAACAGACTATACGGAAACAAATGAGCCTCTCAGTCTCACACAAAACGACTCTCATTTGGACTCGTTTCACTATTTATTATATGCTCACGAACACCTGGACATCGAGTAACAAAGAGAGGTTAACATAGAACTACAATGGGAAAACACATTTTGTAAAAATAAATGAACCTCTCAGTATCAAGCAACACGATTCACTTTCATACAAGCTTCATTTTGTATTGTATGTTCTTGAACAACTAAACATCGAACAATAAAAGTAACATTGAACAACAATGTGAACAGTTACCTGATGATAAAGGCAGCAATTAAGGAATTAGGAAGAATTAAACGAATTGCGGCAAACTTCAGTTCGACCTCGATCAGAACTTGTACAAATGGAACAAAATGTTGCTACTTAGAAATTGACGAAAGGAAGCTCCTATCAAAATAATACCATAAGCAACAAATGAAAAAAAAAAATATTTTTTACCAACATATAATATAAAACAAGGCGCTAGTACAATGTCAAAAGGCTCACAAACTCGACAGAAATAAGCCCAGTGTAGTACCCAGACATTAATAATAGGAAAAAAAATTGCAGACCTTACTGGAGAAGAAAGTATACAAAAATAGGATAAGAGTCACATGGGAACAGCATACATAATAATTAGTTTAAAGGTTAAGTGTTAAACTCTTACGTCGATGAGCATGTGGTGCAGCGGCAGGGTGTCTGTGGGGGCGATCTTGCCGTGCAGGTCCAGCGCAGTTTCCAGCAGGTTCGTCTGAAGAACATCACGCACGTTAAGTTTTTTTTGAGTACAACAGCTTAAAGTAGACTTTATATAAGTTATTAGAGAATAATGTTATGATCCTGTAGTGAGTAACTATTGTCGGACTACATAGGTACAAGTGTACCTTCATCATTGCGATTATTACATCGTACATCACTAAGTGCGATTATTACATAGTAAAATCATTTAGCCTCAGAAGGGTTGTTCTTGCAGTGAGGATAAACTAGTGATGTAAAATGTTTTAATTTTAACTTACGAGTGTGACGAGATGAAGTTTAAGCTGGCCCACCCAGCCCGCATGCTCGGGGTGCTCGCTGAGGTAGTCGGAGGTGAAGAATGCCGACAAATACATCGCGATACCACCATTCACAGCCGCATCAATGGCTCCCTTCAGCAGCATCGTGAACGGTTGAATGTTGTCCTGTAATTTAATAATTATCACTCATGAGAAAAACAGTACATTAAACTTTTAGTGAATTCCCCTTCAAATTGAAATGAATTTGCAATTTGAACTTTACCCCTTAATGTCATCACAAAGACTTTTAAGCAAGGGCTTTTTCCCATAGAATAGAATAGAAGCGTCGGCACTGAAGAAATAGGCCCATGTAATCTACACATTAGAAAAAGCATACACATTGAATAAGGGGCTTTTTCCCATAGAATAGAAGCGTCGGCATTGAAGAAATAGGCACATGTAATCTACACAATAGAAAATACATACACATTGAAATTATGGCGGAGGACATACCTTGGGGTTAGCACGGTAATGACTGACGGTGTTCTTGATCTCCTTGGCGCGGTTGTGCACAGTCTCACAGGCGTTCTGTGGAGGACAGATCTGCTCGACGCTCTGGTGCTCCACTTCAAACCACTTCAGGATGCCAGGCAGGGGCGAGCTGATCGTGTATGTGATGCGCTCGATCCACAGGTTCTGTGTGATAAGTTACAGATATACTTTCTGCATATTAATTTAATGGATTTATAAATTAGGGCAATGATGTGTACAGGCAATAGCTACGAGGTAAGATGGAGGGAGGTAAGCTTGCGTGAAGAATTGACTTCACGTTAGATCTACATGTACAAGCAGTCACAATCTGAAATCTTAAGCAAGAGATTTCTTAACTAAAATAATTTTGAAAGCATTTTAAATAATAATTACAATAATTTTGAATTATTTTAGCGGTACATCAAAACGGTAAAGAATGAACCTTGAACTCATTGTCCTTATCAGTATGGCCGCGAGCGTTAGGTCTGTTATAGATGAACTTGTAGACGTTGTTGTTGTTGTAGTACTTGAGGACGCGCTCGTCGATCTCTACGCCTTCGAACTCCGGCCGTGGCTCCGGCACCGGCTTCACCGCACAGATCTTGAGGAAACAAGCAGCGAATTATTGAATATGGGCGAATAAAAGATACTTTTACTTTGAGAAAGGGTATATATCCGCAAGTCAAAAGTCAACTCTTAAATTTAAAAAGAGTATATTCGAAAGTCAAAGGTCAACTCTTAAATGTAAAAAGAGTACCTATATCCGTAGGTCAAAGATTAATCAATATTCAGTTCTTCCAATCTTAAATCACAAGGTTTCAATTAAATGCACAAAATTGAAGCTTTGATGGTAATCTTGTAATTAAGGCTTTGATGCAATTGCAAGCAGCGAGGAAAGCATTCACTGTTTTTACCCAAACTAAAAACTTAATTTTTTTCCTCCGATTATTTTTAGACCTTACGATGACCAAAGCAACAGGTAGCCAAAATTAGCTCTAGGGCACCGCCCACGGTCATGCTGAGACACCGCCCTTGTCGGCTATCAAGCTATGAGCGACATAGAGGAATTAACTGATCTTCCCGAGGCTCGAACCCACGGCTCATCTCGGCGCTGCTACTACAATGCTACAGTATCAATAACCTTCAAGTTACTAATCGCGTTGATGAATACCTGAATAAACTGGTCTGAAGAGGACTTGGTGGCGTCGTCAGGAGGCATGTTGTACGACAGCAACTTGGCTTGTGGAAATTCGCTCTGAATGCGCTCAGTGAACGCGCCGATTTGTTCGTATTCGAGTCCACGGTAAATGAACGCCTTATTCTAGAACACAGGATAAAGATCACTTAAAAATGTTACTCCAAATATAAAAAACTTCCATAGATCGCACCTAGTTTGTAAATTTTCTTCTTTCAAAACTTTAGTTTTACTGTCAAGAAATTAGTACTGTTAAAAATTCATTATGATTGCTTAAGGTCTTTGGTAGGTACAAATTCCAAAAAGACAATTGCACGTCAATAAAAGATCAGTACGGAACAAACAGCGAACTCACCCGAACAAAAAGCGGCAATCCCATGCCGTAGAAGCCGACTCTGAAGTACTCATTATCATATCGCTTGCCGGTGAGTATTTGTTGGTAGAAAGAAGCCTGCATCTCGAGTACTTCGCTCAGGCGATGGTAGTCGAACAGACGTCGACGGTAGAGGTTGGCAAGCTCTTCTAGGAGAGGAATGCCTTCCTCCCAACACTGAAACATCATGATGTATTTCATATTATTGATAAAATAAATAGGTATATGCGAACAAAAATACATTTATCATTACTATAATATTATTACCTACTACAATATAATAAATTATGACGGAACTATCGAGACGAAGACAAATTTGTTTAATATAAAGAAAGAAATATTTCGATGGGGTATTATGGCTACAGGTTATACACTTTGTTTTACAAGCAAATTCATTCGGAACATGAAGCCTATCGTTGAACGTTCAATTTCTACATCAAAAAACAGACAAATGCAATAACGATGTTAAGAAAAGATTAACAAGCAACATTTTCCTGAACTGTAGCATGTGCAAAAGTAGGTAAAGATTAACATAGACGCTAGTATGGGGAAAGGAAGTAGTGAGTAGGTAACTATTATGTAACAGACGCTAATGGGATCCAAATGTCGCCTGACCTTTCCTTTGTCGAAATAAGAGATTATTTTCTTGTAGATATACTCCTTGCGGGTTAGCTCTGTTTGTGCAGGATACAGCAAATCAGCGTGCAGGACTCGGCTGCTCCAGTCGAGCTGGTTAGCGTGAAGCTGAAGCGTGAAGCCCGCCTCTGTGTAGTTACCAGCAGGCAAGTGTAGGTCGTGTAGCTTGTAGATGTAGCGCGTGTACATCTCCTGTCTGTTTACCTCGTTTTTGTAGAAGTTCTGCACAAAAATCAATGCTTAAACAAAACGTAGATACTCTTTTCGTAGAATAACATGGATAATATAAATAAAAAAAAGATCATTATAGTGATAAGAAAGATACCAAAATCAATGCTTGTACAAGACGATTCGATACTCTTTTATAGAATACCAGGAATAACATTAAAAAAATAATGTTCATAATAAGATTATTAAAATAAACATTCATAAAAAATTAATGCTCATAATAACATTAATAAAATAACATTAATAAAAAATTGATGTTCATAATAATAATGATACGTACGAGAAGGTTGACGGTACAGCTGATCCTCTTATCGCTGTTATCGTGGCCCTGCATGACGCTGCGGTAGTCTTATCATTATCATCATAATAATAATGATACGTACGAGGAGGTTGACGGTGCAGCTGATCCTCTTATCGCTGTTATCGTGGCCCTGCATGACGCTGCGGTAGTCGAGCAGGCGCTCCAGCAGCCGCGTCACTGACTGTACGAACGCTGCGCCGCTGTCCCGCCATACCGGGTCATCGCTGCGCACCTTCTCCAGCAGTCTGTAGGACAGACAAGTGAGTCTGGGACAGACGAGTGAGTGTAGGACAGACAAGTGAGTCTGTAGGACAGACAAGTGAGTCTGTAGGACAGACAAGTGAGTCTGTAGGACAGACAAGTGAGTCTGTAGGACAGACAAGTGAGTCTGTAGGACAGACAAGTGAGTCTGTAGGACAGACAAGTGAGTCTGTAGGACAGACAAGTGAGTCTGTAGGACAGACAAGTGAGTCTGTAGGACAGACAAGTGAGTCTGTAGGACAGACAAGTGAGTCTGTAGGACAGACAAGTGAGTCTGCAGCACAGACAAGTGAGTCTGCAACACAGACAAGTGAGTCTGCAGCACAGACAAGTGAGTCTGCAGCACAGACAAGTGAGTCTGCAGCAGACAATAATCAAAGCACGCTAATGAACAACAGACAATAATCAGTCATACATGATGTTGGATCAGATATAAGTGAATGTGTCAAAAAATAATGCATGACAGTCAATGATATTGAAGCTCAACAGAACTTTGGAGCAAGCAATTAAAGAAGGATCAATGATTAGATTTTGCTATGAAATAAAATCTTTATTATAAACGAGTGTCATAAGTTGCTCTTGTAAACAGAAAAAACGAGGCTGTTGACTTCAACTTCAGATCTTCTGAAAAATTTTCGATGTCAAGAAATATCCAGAAAGTGAGTGAGCACTAATGAATATTCATTGACATTGATACATGTGGTAACTAAATAAACTTGTGCGGAAATAGGGGTGTGGATAATCTGCTAAAGCAGATTAAATTAGGGAAAGACCACAAAAAAAAAAAAAAAAAAAAAAAAAAAAAAAAAAAAAAAAAAGAAAATAAAAATATTAAAGACTACCTATAGGGAACATTTAAGTTTATAGGGAACATTAAAGTTTATAGGGAACATTAAAGTTTATAGGGAACATTAAAGTTTATAGGGAACATTAAAGTTTATAGGGAAAATACTCACAAAGCACTGAGATGCTCCCTGGAAGCAGCGGACAACAAAGACAAACAATGTGATATTTCACAGTACAAACCTTTACCAAATTAATCAACGCAAGAATAGAGATATAAGACTTACTGAATTCTTAAAATATTTACAGGTTTAATTATGAATACAATATCTTTAACATATTATGACTACAGAGTGACCTTAAATTTTAACGTTTGAATACCAAGAAAAAATAAAAAAGATAACTTTCAACATCCATGTTTTAGGCTAAAAGCATCGGAGAATTAACACGAACTGTCAACTAAAGGTAAATACAGTTTCAGAGTCCAGATTAATGAAAACGCAGGAGCAAAAGACTCACATGGTGTTGAAAAGTTGACGGTATTGGTCGTTGCCTTTGTTTTCGCTAATCAAAATGTCCAACTTGTCGATGAGTTCTGTTTCCACCTGAAATAACAATACGCATGAATTACGTACATGCAGGAACAAAACAAACATCAGACTTGGCAGATAATATGAGCACCATCAAATACACACAAATGGAACAAGTTGAAGAGACATATATGTTGGTAATTAGTATACCTCAAACGCTCTCCAATAAAATTTTGAGTTAACGTAGGTACTATTTTCCCCAGTTCCTATATTAAATACAATAACTATTAGCTAAATACTGCGGAGAATGTTGATATCAACCACTCATCAGCATGGATTTTGATTTTAAAACTCAAACCTTAACAAAACTAATACCAAATACTAAAAAGTATAACTCAGAACTCACTGCAGTGAGTGACAGAGAGCGCATTTTCTCGTCGACGAAAACGTGTAGTCACGGACGGACAGACGGACGGACAGACGGACATGGCGAGTACGATAGTGCATTTTTTCCATAAATGAGAAAATGCGCTAAAAATGGGACGGTGACGAAAGGAACATTACTTCCCAATTGTACATAGCAACTAAGAACCCAAATCCCGAACCTGCTTGAAGTTCCCTTTAGCCTGTTGCTCAGCTTGCAGTAGATCAAAGAAGATGGGAAGCGTGGCTCGTCGTAGTTCGGGTTGCGGCACCAGCGTCATCTCAAGGAACGGCCCCACCAGGCTACTCACGAAGCATATTCGCTGTTGGTCTGTGAACAGACAAGTGAGTCTGCAGCACATGCAATAATTAAAGTACACTGATGAATAACAGACAATACTCAGTCATACATGATGTTAGATCAGGTACCTACTAGTGACTGAGTCAATAAATAAGGTATGATAGTCAATGATATTGAAGCTTAATGGAACTTATGAGCGAGCAATTATAGATAAATCATAAAGATCAGATTTTGTTATGAAATAATATCTTCGTTATTATAAACGAGTGTTATAAGTTGCTCTTGTAAACCGAAAAAATTAGGCTGTTGACTTCAACTTCAGATCTTCGGAAAATTTTTCGATGTAAAGAAATATGGTAACTAATAAACTTGTCCGGAAATGGAGGTGTGGATTAAATGAGGGAAAAATAAAAATATAAAAGTTTATAGGGAACATTAAAGTTTATAGGGAAAATACTCACAAAGCACTGAGATGCTCCCTGGAAGCAGCGGACAACAAAGAGAAACAATGTGATATTTCACAGTACAAACCTTTACCAAATTAATCAACGCAAGAATAGAGATATAAGACTTACTGAATTCTTAAANCTAAAAATAATATTTAACTTGATTGAAAATCTTTAGCGCTTCGAATACAAGCGAAGTTATGGATGAAAACGAAATAAAGCACATTCGAAAAACGCATGAAGCCATCTCATCCATTTCCGAGCGAGCAGCAGGATGATGTAGCTGCGCTACTTAGAGGGGTGACCGTCCACGAGTTCTGCAATGAAGCAATTCCCTTGATTATCACGAGAAAGTCCCTAGTACAAAAGTGCATGTGATGAAAGTTCTTCAGCGTGCGATGCATTACAGGAAATGAAATTCAGTGCAGTGGAATGCTCTTCCTCGTCAGCATGCAACAGGCATTCCGAGTCAAATTTTACGACTTTCTTCACGCGGCTTCAATTAGAACGCTTGACGTACATTGAAAGAAAAATAAAAAGATAGATTCTTTCCCAGAAGAGGACTTAATTGTCACAGCCATGAAATTAAAGTACCGGTATCTTCCTGATGCACATGCCTATGTAGATGGCTAACGCCTAATGAAAACTTGGTGTAATCAATCGACCGCAGACGACTAATGATAATTCGGTGTAAGTAATCCATATTCAAACACAGTCGACTTCGCTAAGCGCAGTTCCGCCACACGCCTTCTAATGCTTTTTTACCTCCAATTAAAATTAGTAACACAGCTTCTTTTGAAATAAACAACTTTCAATCAGTAAAATCACTACGAATTTAGGGAACCTGAATCGGCCCAGAGGTTTTAGGTGGGCACTGGACATAACCTGTCTCTTATACACATCTAATATTACAATTGAACTTTCCGAGGTATTACTTACATAAGTATCATTTTGGAATTGCAGGGACAGAATGGTTTCAATAACGACATCGATGAGTCCCAGCACAAGGGTCTCAATGTCCTGCTCTAGCGCGGCGTCAGGAGCCAGGGGCGCTTTGCTCAGACGGGCGTCGTAGTGTCGCTGTGATCGCTGGTCCGCCAGCAGGGACACGACCTGCCCCAGGATACGAGCGCACAGCTGCAGCTCTACCTTCGCCTGCAGATGTGCACGCAGCTGCTCACACGCGCTCGACACCACCACGCGACGTCCGTCTGACACGAGGGAAAAATTTAACATTTGTTTATCTCCATCTTTTCAATGTTTTCCCTCAAACATTTGTTTGAGGGAAAAATTAAACATTTGTTTATCTCCATCTTTTTTGCGTGAACAATATGGGGACCAAAAGATACATAAAATGATAAGTTTATATGGAAAAACTATTAAATTAGAAGTTCATTCGATCAGGTAATAATCGTTACAATATTAAGCACAGAGAAGTCATGAAAAAATGTCTCGAAATTCACCCATAAAGATATATAATAATTGTCACGTTGTAAGCATGTGTAAATGCTCCAAATTTTTCAAAATTACACCAACCAGGTAAATCATACTCATGAACAACAATACAATAGAGGTGAATAAGACGGAGCGCATGAAGCTCTACAGTTTAGATAAATGAAAACTATATTGGCTGGAGTACCACTAACCAGGATCAGCACAAAGAGTGGTAGAGCAAGCATGGGTGTAGGCGATGAGTCTGTGCTTGGTGAGGTGGTCTGTGATGGGTACAGATGGAGATG